AGACTCTGTCTGCCGGAGGGCAGAGGAGGGAGGTGGGCACGGACCTGTGTCCATAGAGCCTCACTCACGTTGAGCTTGGTGCTGCTGAGATCTTATGCCTCCCTCTCCTACCAAAGCACCTGTTTCCAGGCAGCACGAAGGGACACTTTTGTAGTCAAATGAGATGTTCCAGAACGATGCCTGCAAGTTGTAAGAGGCGAGCAGGCTCTCCAAGTGCTGTGCTCTTATGTAAATTAGACCCCGTGTTCCCCTGCACTGCTCTGAAATTACAGGGTGGCATGTCACTCTCATCTCTGCAGAGGTGGAGGAGCTTCTTCCTCACTCAGTCCTTTTGTCTGAACCCTCCAGATGACAGTGGCGACTGCTGGCTCTGACTCAGACAAACCTCACCCATGACATTGTCTCAGGTTTCAAGAGCCACGAGCTGGTGGCCAGGGCCAGTCTCTCCCCAGAACCTAGAAGCCCAGAGTATTTTCTGCAGGCCACAGGGATAGGGTTCTGTGTGTGCTGGGTAGTTTTTACGTCAGCTTGACACAAGCCAGAGTCCTCTGGAAGGTAGGAAACTCAATTGAAGAATTCCTCTGGAAGATCCAGTTGTAGGGCATTTCCCTTTTCCTTTTGGTTTTTCAAGGCAGGCTTTCTCTGTGTAGCCCTGGCTGTCCTGGAACACTAGTTCTGTAGATCAGGCTGACCTTGAACTCACAGAGATCCACCTGCTCCTGCCTCCCGAGTGCTGGGAATAAAGATGTCTGCCACCACAGCAGGGTTGGCATTTTCTTAATTAGTGATGGATGGGGGAGGGCCCAGCACACTGTGGGTTCTATAAGAAAAAAGGCTGAGCAAGCTACAGGGAGAAAGCTAGTAAGCAGCACCCTTCCACGGCCTCTGCATCAGCTCCTGCCTCCAACCAACCAAGTTCTGTCCTGTTTGAGTTCCTACCTTGAGTTCCTTCAATGATGAACAGTGATACAGAAGTGTAATCCAAATAAACTCTTTCCTCCCCAACCTGGTTATGGTATTTTGGTTATGGTATTTCATAACAGTAACAGTAACCCCCGACTAAGACACTGTGTTTGAGGGACAGAGGTGTCCTCAAAGATGCAATCCCAGCATGTCCTGGACCCACCCTTGACTGTTATGGTAGCTCCTGGACACCCTTGGCAGGAAAGCTGCCTCCTCTCATCTCACACTTGGGTCACTCTTGGTGAGATGGCAGCTACCTGAACTCCTCAGCATCTCCCAGAGGCTATGGTCCACTATTCCACCATAGCTTCTGTCCGGCACTGACCAATACACAAACCACCACAGGCTATGACCAGCAGCTGCCTTGGCCATAGTGAGGCCGAGAAGGTTGGGTAGCCTCCTCTGAGCCTGATTAAATGAGATCCAGGCTCGTGTGCTGGAGGTGGTGGTGGTGGTGGTAGAGGAAGGGTTTCAAGAGGGCTGGAAGTGCCTTCCAGGTCAGCCGGCATTTTCCAGCAAGTGGGAACGGTTTCTCTCCCTTCATGCCTGGCAGGGTGAGGTGGCATGTGGTGGCGGCAATGTCTCAAAGCTGTGGCCATCTTACGTGCATACCTTGGCTAGCTGAGATTATTCCCTTGGCACTTTGGCTGCAGAGCCCAGTCTCTGCCAGGAGAGAAGGAAGATGAAGGACCCTGACCCATGCGTGGCAGCCAGCCCAGCTGGGTCAGGCAGGGCCAGGGGATGTGGGCCTGCAGGCCTACCTCTCTGTAGGCTAACTTAGGGGAGAGATAGCACAGTGGGTAAGAGAAATGGGTGCCCTTCCAGAGCACCCACATGGCAGCTCATAACTGCCTGTAACTCCCTCCAGGGGACCCCACACCCTCACACAGACACACGTGCGGGCCAAACACCAATGCACATCAAATAGAAAAAAAGGAAAAATGTGAAAGCAGGGAACCCAAATGGCCACAATTAGACCCTTTTGGTGCCCCCAGGGGTTTGCACAGGGCAGTGTTTGTGTGTGTGTGTGTGTGTGTGTGTGTGTGTGTGTGTGTGTGTGTGTGTGAGACCCGGTGGTTGTGTTAGGTTAGGAGTGGTAAGGGTGTGAGGGCATCCTGGCAGAAAGTGTGGCAAATGTTGGGTCATAGATCCTCAAGGTGTTCCTGATAGTGAGGTAGTAGTAGGCCAACAGGCAGAACTGGGCAGGGTTGCAACCCCAAGAAAGGTGTGAGTAGTGTATTGTGTGACCCATACCCTGTGAGGCCAGAGGGACAGGGACCTGAGGAGCACTTGAATTGGAGGTCTCTGAGTGCTGGGGGGGAGGGGGGACGACTCCAGGTCTGGGCTTTTATTGGCAAGGTTTGAGTCTTAACAACTCCAAGCTCAGATCCAAGGGTCCTCCCCCCTTCTATGCCACAACAAAGGTTCACCAGCCAGGTTCCTGGTCAAGAGTGGCCCTTCATTCTTACCCTACTTATCAAGGCTAGTGAGCATGAGTGTCTCATGTATGAGCTCGACTACGTGAGGAGCCCAGGCCAGAAGTACACCCCCATGATGCTCCTGGGTTCTTAACACGCCTGGTTTGCAGAGCCAGGCAAGGCTGCTGGAAAGGGCGGCTGCCCTACAATCCTGGGAGATGGGCTCTTTTGGTCAAGGCACTTGAGGATCTGGTATTGCAAGAGGATGGCAGAACCCTTTGATTGCCAGAGATGCCAGAGACACAGTGGGGACAGACCTTGCCTGCGGCTCCCACATTCTTTCTTGGGGAAGGGGGTTAAACCTTCAGAGACATTGGGGGGTCTTCAGGGGACGGAACTGAGAAGCACCAGGAACATCATTTGCATGGTAAGGATGGCCAGTTCAGAAGAGGGAAGAGACCTCATGGCTCTGAGAACACAGTGCTGAGGGGCTGGGGAGCTTCACTGCCTGAGACAGTTGTCCTAACCCCAATGTCTCTCCAGGATGTAGCTCAGTTGGTAGAGTGCTTGCCTGTTACGCATAGAACACATTAGGCTCCATCTGCAGCACTACTGAAACCAGGTGTAGCAGCTCAGTCCTGCAATCCTAACACTCAGCAGTGGGATGCAGGAGGATCGGAAGTTCAAGGTCACCCTCAGCAACACAGCAAGTTCAAGGCCAGCCTGGGCTACATCAGCTCCAGTCTCAAAAATGAACAAATAACTTTAAAGCTCTCTCAGCAGATGCTTCCATATTCTGGAAGCAGGTGACCAGCTGCTTAGAGCCAAATTTCCCAGAAGGATGACCTTAACCTCAGCAGGAGAAAGTAGAGCCTGATGAATACCTGCCTGTAGCCCAGGACACTGATGCTGGAAGAAAATACAGAAAGCAAGCAAAGCAGGGCACAAGCAGACGCTGGTGGCTGGGGTAATTTCTGAGTCTGCACATGGGTTCAGCCGCCTCTTGGGGTCCAGGAATCCTATTCTGTGGGCATTTAATTGAAGACACCTTGACGTTCCTTAGTGGGGGCGGATGAGAGAATGGACTCGTTACCTTCCATCTTTTCTGAAGGAGGCAGCACAAGCCTTTGGCTGAAGGAAGAAGGGTGTCCATGACAGCCTTGGCCAGATAGAGCATCCTGGGGCTTTAGGTAATCACTACAAATGGCCCTGGTGTTCGGCTGTCGGCTCTCGCCTCCTCTCTGGGAGGAGACGCTGGGCTGATGGGAGCGCCACGCTGGCCAGATCTTGGTTATATTTTTAAGTCAGCTTTGGCTGTTGTGCAAACATGCTGCATGGTCGGTCGATTCACAGGTTCACAGGCCCTGACTCAGAGCTGCACGGGATACATCTCCTGCTGCAGGAGGCTCTGTTCTGTTCTGGTGCCGCCTTTTGAGGGGATTCAGACTTGTCAGCAGCCTGCAGCGTGCCTGGTCCTACACCCACAGCAGGAATGCCAGCGCGCAGCCTCAGCTCTGGAAGGCCACAGCTCTCCTTCCGACCCTACCACATCTCTTCTCTGGGAGCCTTGCTGTTGGGTCAGTCTGCTCTGGGCACCCCATGTGAGCCCCACATTGAAGCAGTGCCCTCAGCAGAAGGCTGCCGAGGCTACAATGCTGAGGGGTCTGGCTGGTGATGTGTAGGCACCCTTTACCTGTCCCTTAATCTCTCTCCTGGCCATTTCAGGGCTAATGTTCTCCTGTCCACAGACTTCCCTGCCCTGATTGCCAGTCTCTCAGGAATTGCCAGGACTTCCTGATCCAATTAGGCCCAGCCAAGGCCCACACCCTGCCTGTTCCACTAGCCTAGCACCTGGCATGTGTGGGTGCTGGCTGCTCTGCAAGGTACCTACCATGTCTCCTCGGCTCATAGCTGCTGGAGGGGTGGGGATAGAGCTGGCTGCCACATCCTCCTGAGTCAGCAGACACTCCGGTCTCTTTACCACCCACTGTGACAAGCAGCTAATCACACAGAAATCCAGACTCGACTCAGGGAGAGCCCTTGCTGAATTGTAAGACCCCACACCTCAGTTTCCTCTTCTGTGCAATGGGGCTAGTTACAGCACCTGACTGGGCGTGCACACGGCACAGCGGGGCGTGGAGTGTTGAGAAAGCATGTCCATTTTATGAGTGCCCCATCCCCACCCCCTCCCGGTGATCCCTACCCAACTTGGAACTTCTCCCTGTGTATCCATTGCTGACCGCCATCTCCCCTCTGAGGGGCCCATAGTGTTCCCCCTGCCGTGGCTAACAGGCCTCCTGGGGCTCTACCTGGTGTTGGGGTGCAGGGTTTGCAGTGAGAGGGTAGCAGAGGACAGCAGCAGGCTGACTGCTCACGTTGTGCCCTACTGGGTAAGCCGTGGTCGCTAACCACAGAGACATGGGCGTGGCTCAATCTCTAGCGGCAGGCTCCGAACAAGTGCGCTGCCTGCCTAGGTGCCCTACAACTCTTTCTGGCCATCACCTCACAGACCCCCTCAGTGTGGTGGTCTCTGCGTGGCAGGCTTAGAGGCAGCTAAGTGTGTGTGACCGAGGCCAGGGTATTGACTGCCTCAGCAGACCCCATGGCATGCACTTTTACCTGGTGCCTTTCAGAGGATCCTGGACAGTGGGCACCACATCTTGGAGACTCTGGCCACCTTTGGGCTTACTGTCGGTCTTCTAGGGGGTCAAGCAGAAGGAGAGGGAGGCTCAGAGGGGCATGGTGGTTTAAGGAAGAGGCCCCCTATGGCCTCTGGGCTTACCTCAAGCATGCTGGGCAGGAACAGAAAGGGCTGCATTCCAGGCGGAGGAGGTCCGAGGAGGATGTCCGCAAACTCAGCACAGCCTTGCTGCACTCGCTGACAGGCTGCAGGAGAGCTGGATTCATATCTCCTCCCTGAGCAGGTTTGCCCGGAAAAATAAAGCAAAGAGGAGGCCCTGTGAACCTTGAGCAAAGGGAGAGTTTTCCTTTCACCAGGTAAGTGGGCAGCGGGCAAGGAAGGGGTGGAGCTTTGTCTTGGGAATTCCTCTGAGCCAGTCGAGAGAGGGGTATGGATGGGGACGTATGAAGAAAGAGTATGGCTATAGCAGTGGACAAGCAGGATAGGCAGACAGGAGGAGTTTGGATCAGGTAGCATGGACAGAGCAGAGTGGACAGGACAGTGTATACGAGGGCGTGTGCAAGGGGGAATAAAGGCCAGGCAACGTGAAGGGGCAGCAATGTGAGCAGAGAATACAGGCCAGGCAGTGTGAACACAGCGGTGTGGGCAGGACAGAGGGACAGGTCAGAGGGGACAGGTCAGAGGGACAGGACAGAGGGACAGGACAGAGTGGACAGGTCAGAGTGGACAGGACAGAGGGACAGGTCAGAGGGGCAGGTCAGAGTGGACAGGACAGAGTGGACAGGACAGAGTGGACAGGACAGAGGGACAGGTCAGAGTGGACAGGACAGAGGGACAGGTCAGAGTGGACAGGTCAGAGTGGACAGGACAGAGTGGACAGGTCAGAGGGACAGGTCAGAGGGACAGGTCAGAGTGGACAGGTCAGAGTGGACAGGACAGAGGGACAGGTCAGAGGGGACAGGACAGAGGGACAGGTCAGAGTGGACAGGACAGAGGGACAGGTCAGAGGGACAGGACAGAGGGACAGGTCAGAGTGGACAGGTCAGAGGGACAGGTCAGAGTGGACAGGTCAGAGGGGACAGGACAGAGGGACAGGTCAGAGTGGACAGGTCAGAGTGGATAGGACAGAGGGACAGGTCAGAGCACTGTGGATAGAGGGACAGGACAGAGGGACAGGTCAGAGTGGACAGGTCAGAGTGGACAGGACAGAGGGACAGGTCAGAGCACTGTGGATAGAGGGACAGGTCAGAGTGGACAGGTCAGAGGGACAGGTCAGAGTGGACAGGTCAGAGGGACAGGTCAGAGGGGACAGGACAGAGGGACAGGTCAGAGCACTGTGGATAGAGGCGTAGGGGCCCCACAAGGTGGAAAGCACCTGGACATAGATATGTAGACAAGGTGACAGACAGAAGTGTAGCCTGAGTGGCGCGGCTGGGGCAAGTGTGGACAGGGCAGTACGGATGGAGCAGCGTAGAGCAGGCCGTGTGGACGCAGCACTGTGGTTAGGGCTGCGTGTTCAGTATAGACAGTGTGTAGCATGCGCCTGCGCTAGTCAGCAGGGTTCGCTCCTTCGCTAGGCCAGAAGAGGCGCTTGGCTCTCGAGTCCTGACCCACACAGACCACACTTGGGTCTCTTTTCAGCACAGTGCAAGACGGGAAACGTTCCCCATCAGGCTCCAACTACAGCAGATCTGGACACAGGAACTTCTGGTCGCCAAGAGGCTCAGGAGATGGCCCCCATAGACGCTTGCCTACACTGGCTCCTTCTCCTTCTTTCAGGATCCCAAGGTGTGAGAGGCACAAAGCAGCTCCCTCTGCCTCTACTCCACTCACGGGTACAACTGTAATCCCAGAACCTTCTGTCCCCTTTAAGTTAGCAGCATAGCCCAAACGGTGAGTTCCAACGCTAGGTTGGTTCAGGGTTCCTGGTTCCTCTCAAATACATGTGCACATCACAGCCCTCACTTTCCTGTAGGGCCGCGCTCCAGGATACTTCCAATGGGCTCTTGACCTGAGTGCCCCTCACTGTGAGCCAGAGAACCGGGAGAGCCAGGTGGGAGGCTGTGACTACGGCAGGAGCCTCAGTTTGTGAGCTGCAGAGGCGCTGGGGTACGGCAAAGGCTGGAGGACAGAGGGTGGTACCTGCGTGGGGTCCTGAAAGAGGGGTACAGTCTGGACCAGCATCATTAGGGCTGGCGAGGTGTCCCAGGACAGTGTCTCTTCATGGAAATGGGGTCTTTAGGTAGGACCTCCCCCATGCTCAGCCCTGGGGGCTGGTTCCCTCGGTGGGATTGGGATGAGTGGAGAAGTCTTCCATCTATGTGCTAGACAGGGTCCTGGGTCCAGAGGCCTTAATGTCCTCTCCCCAGAGTCCTGGTCTGTGGCTGCTGGGCCTCTGAAACACCTCCACATTACAGGTGGCAGAATTATTTCTCTCAGAGGTGTATTAATTTTATCTTATGGTGCGTTAATAAAAACCATTTTCTTATGCAAGGACGTCCCTTGACTAATGTCCTTCCCCGCCGCTCTGTGCCCTGCACCACTGGTGTCCTGGGCAATGACTGGGAACAGTAATGCTGACAACATGGTTTTCAGCTCTCCGCACGCCGACAGGCCGTGTGCAGCAGCGGCACCAGCTCTGCCATCTTTAAGAACGACTTTTGGCATTAAGATGCCAGCTCTTATCTTCGTGTGTCTCTGAGGCATGTGCCTAGTCAGGGTGGCTGCTGGGTGGCCCCTAACTGGGAACACTGATCACTCTGGGCCCTCACCCAACGTAATAGGGCTTCAGGCCACGACTCAGCCATACACCAATTCTGGGAAATGGAGTGGGTAAAAGACCCAGCAAGAATTTCTGATGGGAAAATAAGTATATCTAGACCAAGGCTATGAGCATCTCCACCAGGTTAGAAGGTTCCAGCCACATCGTTAAAGGGCTTCTCCAGAAACTGCCACAGCTGGCATCTCCAGAACATCTGCTTGGTGCCACTCAGCTGTGGTCATATCTGGTGACCTCATGTGATGAAGGCTGTCTCTGCTACCATGAGCTTGCTGGAAAAAGGGCCTTCAGACAAGGTAAATGAGAGCCACAATGACAATGATGTTCACATTACTGATGCTAACCGCGTTGCTCTGTGGAATAGTGGGGACCAGGAAGCCTGGTTCCTCAGCCCACGCGGGATTGAGTGACACTCGAGGCCATCTGGATATGTGGCAGACCTTCGGCCACCTCGAGAATGAGGCTGCCTGGTTAACCACACAACCCTTGTCATTTCGAGTAAGGGAAAATCTTTACTTCTCACCTTTACCTCTTTGATCCCTGTGACCAAACAGACTGCTCACTCACAGCCCTTTGCTCTGCGGGGATGGTGTCCAGGCAGGCCACACAAGGTCGCCAGCTGCCTCTGCTATACTGACCCTGTGCGTATCTGGTCACCGCTCTTAGGGGAGGGGAAACTGGTGGCCAGGGAGCAGGCTTGAGGCAACCACGAGCATGTGGCTTCCCTGGAGGGAAGGGGCCACCTGGAAGGCTGGCCAGCCGGAGGGGGTCCTGCTGACTGCTCTTCCTAGAAGTAGGAGGTGAAGTTGAACCACAGTACCGCCATCCAGGAACAGATATGCTTCTGTCCATGGCTTCTCCACAGGGGACCAAGATCTGGGTTTCATGAGAAAACAGTGCCCTTTGCACCCCGGCTTCCCCAACATCACTGGCTGCTGCTCATGTCCACACCGTGCCAGGCCCTGCTCATGGCGCCCCTGGTATAAGCTGGCTTCTGTTCTGCTCACACACCCTCTCATTCTCACAGAGTGAGCATCATGTTCATGCAGAGGAACCCCGGGACCTGGCCCCTGGGAGAACCGATGCACAGCTTCCTGCCACACACACCCGTATGCTGTCCCCAGATACCCACACACTGTAGCCATAGGCCCTGGGGCTCCCACATCAGTCCCCTGCTCCCCGTAACAGACGCCCTTCCTGCAGCTAGTTACCCCACTCCTGTCATTATTCTACTCCCATGGGCAGGCCCATAGCCCCATCCTTGGGTCCAGGCCACTACTGTCTGCAGTGGGATGCCTGTGACGGTCCCGGATGTCAGCAATCTGCCCTGTAACTCATTTCTCACCCCCCCCCCCCCGCCAGCATAAAACCGGTTGGTTCGGAGCATTGACGGGACCTTGTGATGGCTGCCCTGAACTTCCAAGGGCTTTGTCTGCCTTGTGGGGCACAAACAAAACCTCTAGGCTCTCAGCTCTGCCAGGGTGGCGGGCGTGGGGTGGGGAGAGCCCCGCCCCTGCTCCACACTCACAGCACTCTGAGCCCTTCCTCCCTGTGCCCTGCGCTGCTTACTCCTCCTTCAGATGCCCCGAGAGCCCCTCTCACCAGCTGCCTCTTATGCCTTGAGGGCCCTTTGTTCCCTTTCCATCATCCTACAGGTACTGTTGTAGGTAGCACCTGGAGACCAATTTTGCTGCCATGGATCTCGATGGTTGTGATGCATCTGGCCTCCTCGCTCAGTTCACCCGTCTCGTCTCTCGCTGTGCCTGCCCTGTCTGCACACTTGGTCCAGTTAGGCCAAACCGTGAGAGAAGAGATAAGGCTGAAAGACTGCAAGAGTCTCCTAAAGGCTGAAGATCTTACTGCTTAGGAGAGATAAGCTGCAGAGCTGCTATCAGATAGGAGTGTGTGCTTCCCAGCCACTGACAGCCTGGGGGCCACTTCCAACGCCTGAAGAGACACAAGGGAGAGGTATTCCAACACTGCACATTACCCCGCCACACCGTCCCTGCAGGGGGAACCACCCCTGACTGCGGTGAGGGGGTTAGGGTGGGAGGGGCCGTTCGCCTGTTCTAGGGCAGGGACTTTTCAGCAAGTAGTTTCCTTTCCAAGGTAGCTACCAGGTGCTCTGTGGCCATTCCTGGCCCGTTTGTTTGGAGGCTCTCCTGCCCTTCTAGCTACATTTGCTACCTCCCCACCACCCCCACCCCACCCCCAGCCAAGAGGCCCAGGAACAGGACTCTTAATCTCTGGGAAGCAGCCCTAAGGCCTGTGTCAGTGCTGATGGTAATTATGGCTTTATCAACAAGATAAAGGTTGCTGGGCCACCTCAGGGAAAGGAGGCTCTGGAGACAGAGGCTCTGCTAGGGATCAGAACGGGCAGCCTGACCTCTTTGTAAAGGAAATATCAATTAATTATCCTTTTACAGGCAAACCAATTAGACTCCCTAATCACCTGTGTAGGACACCGGGGCAGAAGGCGGAGAAACTGCAGG